GGGGGAATTGATCGTCAAGCATTTAACTAGAACAACTAAGGCCCCGTTTGGTACACATTAATGTAAAAATGAGAATGAGAAATATAATTGCTGCGGGCTCCACACAAGAAATAGAAAGTCAAATATAATGACTTGATGTGATAAATAACGATTATATTTTTTATTTTAATGGACAAATAATGGAAGCAAACGGGGGCTAAATCATTCAATTTTAGCTTCAAGCACGTAAGTGCCTACAAAAACTCGAATAAAATGCACACTTTCAGAGCGTAAGATTGAGTAAGTGACCTCCTATACAATTCAAAGGTATTATCACACTAAAAAATTATAAAAAGAGGATGGTTAATAATCCATGATCCAATTCTTTCAACAAGAAAATATGGCATTTGACCTGCCCGAGTTCAGATATTGAATCATAAAATGACCTCGTGTAAATGAACAAACTCGAGAACCCCGAATGGGTATCTATATATCCCTTGAGGATGAAGTAGAAAAACTCGCTTGGTCAGAACAACATTCATAACATTGCAGAACTGATACAAAATTGGTTATTTCAAGTATTTAGACCAAGTCCATTCAATTCTAGCTTTTTAAGCTCAAGTGTAACTATAAGAAGTTAGCTTAGATATATTGCTTTGGAGCACAGGATTTAGTTAAGTGACCTAATATACAATCAGAGCTAGCCAATACGCATCAAATTGTCTGCTTTCTTGACATATTCACCAAATAGTGTATCTTTATATGATAATATACCTAAACCTTGTTGCACCACAGGGAAATATAGGGACTTTGGACACGTGCATATGAATGCAGATGGACGGTGCACAGAAAAGATACAATGTACCTACATCAGTTGGAACTAACTTTGGTTCTCAATTCACATCAATTATTCTCAAGTACCAAACAATGTAATTAATTTTAGTTGGAACTAACTTTGGTTCTCAATTCACATCAATCATTCTTAGGTACCAAACAATGTAATTAATTTTTACTAATTTATTAAATTAGACACAGGACGTAACTGAGCTAAACAAGCTTCGAACATTCAAAATTCCATCAATAAACCACAAGTTAAAACAAAGAGTGGAGTGACCAAAACTTTATCATTCTTCCCTTGATTAAAACGTCTAACACCCTTTAGACCTTCGTCAAATTGATTTTCATTTCCAACTGATTGAGCTATGAACCAATATAGTTATCACACCTAACATCTTATGACATGTCAAGAAAAACTTGGGAGTTTGGAGATATTCTACTGGAATTTTGTGGAGAACTAGGGAGAAAGGTGAAATACCTAATTAGTCTCCTTCAGTTTTTGTTGATTTAAAAAAAAAAAAAAAAAATTATAGATAAAACTCATGATCCAAGAATTGCCAAGCATATCCTCTCTATCATTTCAACTCAGAATTTCTTTCCCCAAACATATTAACATTCTTGAGGGAGACAATAGCAGGACAAATATGACATCAACTAAAAAGCAACAAAGACTCCAAAAAATATGTACTGTCATGCACTTGAAAGCATCAGCAACAATTGCCCTAAGAAGCTTCCTTTTTTACAGCTAAGAAGCAAAGATTTTGATACATAATTCAAATACGATACGATACAGGTATGCCGATTCAGCTTTTTAAATAATTTTAAGATACACGGCTACATGTATTAAAGCTCTAATAGCATTATCTATTTCTAATACTAAAATTATAATCTCAATTGTTAACAAGATTTTACATGTATTAAAGGTTTCAAAACTATCATCTATTTTCTATAATAAAACTATAGTTATCGACTATTTAACATGATTTAACATGTACTAAAAGATTCAATAGTATTGTACATTTCCAATAGTAAAACTCTAGTTGTCAATCAATTTAAAATTTTAATTGTCGATTATTTATTAATATAGTATTATTTGATCCTCATTATTTCCAAAATACATTCTCTCTCCACAATCACACATTCTTTAATAAAATAATGTTACACGTAAGCCCAAAACTTTCACTTACTTTTTAATCACACATTCGCCATCAATCTACTATTCCAAAATGCATTCTTAATCCCAAAAAAAAAAAAAAAAAGGCTCAAATAGGCGCTATATATTTCCAATAATAAGTGTAAATTGTGTAGTTAACTATCATCACAAAACACGTTTACTTTTTTTGAATTGTTATGTAATTTCAATGAGTTGTTGATAATAACAATAGTTATTTATTAAGGAAAAATACTTTGTCATCTATTTCTAATAATAATGAGTTTTAAAAGAGTTTAAAATTAATAAAAAACTCATCTTCTTCACGAATCATAACATGTTCGATACATATCAAAATTTTAAAAATATAAAAATTATAAAATAATTAAAAATATGTATCTGGTACATATTAAATAGTATCTAAGTGTATCCAAGATTGGATATGCAACGCGTACACAATAAACTTACAAATATCTGGGCTTCTCAGTTCTAGAGAAGGCATTAAAGACAATCAGTCAATCACCATTGTACCTAATGCACTTGAAAGCATCAAAAACAATCTTTCAAATTTCAAACCAAATAAATGACAAATAATAGGACTTCATCAAAGAGAAGAAACGAATCTTTCCCTTTTTGGAAAAAAAGAAAATTCATCCTTATCAAGTAAACCTTCAATTAAAGAAACCGTTAGTTTAATAGTTATATGTCACAAATGCATATAAAATGCGAATGAAATCAAAATTAATTATTTAGGAAGTCTGGATCATTTGATGCTAGCATAGAAGACCACAGCCTGGTTACATTCATAATGGGTTTCAGTTTGATGTCAAAATCTAAACTAACCCAATTCAGATTTACCCAAGCAATAATTGATTAGATGGGAAAAGTAAACCCTGGACTGACCCACCCAATGCTGTTTTAATTGAAACATTTTGCAGGTTTTCATCATGCATAGTATGCCCCATAAGCAAGAATACATCTTTTGTGTCTGAGAATTCACCCCGTAAACTATTCCACCTTTAGTTTCACCCTAATCTTCATCCATGTCTAATAAAATTCTACATGTAAATCTAAAACTTTTCCAATATTGGAGAACAAAAGCATCGTAGAAAAGCCCCAAAAGTAATTCATTCATCAACAAAAGAGAACACCAAATTACGGATATGATCCAAAGGTAGGAACAATGTACCAGGGGCTTGTTGAATGACAAACCGCGAGGACCAAACAAGAATATCTTTACGGGAAGAAGAAAAATTCACCCACAAATACATTCAACAAGATGGAGATTGTGCAAAACATTCCAACCTATAACGCAATTCGGAGAGAGTTCATGCTAGATGAACCAAGCATGTATAACTTTCAAACTAGTTCAGAATGATGGGTGGAAAAAGATGAAGGTTAACATTGTCCAGGAAACAGATTGGTGCGTCTTGATATCTTCCATAAAAATGGTGATCTTCAAACTTGATTCTGGTAATTCAGACATGATATTTGTTCCAGGAATATATTATAAGCAACTAATATCTTGTTTATAATATTTGAACAGACATGGAATTTGAGTTCAAAATCAAGTGGTCCTCAACCGTAGAAGATTACCATGTCAGTTTTTCTACACCTCTTAGGGAGGACAACAACATCATAAACAGAGAAAGATTAAATACACAAAGATCATAAACTGATAAGCAGACACGATGAATAAACAAACAGAATTCACCACGGATCAATAGTTAACATAAAGAAAGAGCAGGTATTCCTATTCAACTAGAAAGAAAGCTCCAGGATAATAGCAAACAAAGTTAGGATACACTGTGATTAAATTAACACTAGAAGGAGCGCAGAAGGAAGAATCCTTACAGAAATCAATGGAATTGCTCATTTCCATCCATTGGTTGTTCAGAGTTACTCAAGTTGCCACATACATTGCACTCCATGACGGTAGATGGAACAGAATCTGCCGGAGGCAAGGGAGCCAATGTGCCCCAGCAATTGTCTCTGTTACACATGTACTGAAGGAAGAAATAAGCATGGGGGAAACCATTGTCCTCTTTGGCCAAACCACAGTCCTCAGTCTCAGAATCGTGAGCCATATCCTCGTCAGAATCCTCATCCATGGGAGCCTCTTCCTCTTCCTCTTCCTCCCCCTCTCCCTCTCCCTCTCCCTCTTCCTCATCAGACCAATTGGCTTCTACCTTGCAACGGTCACAGTCACAGGCGAAACCATAATCCTCCTTCAGCCTGCGCTGCCTTTCTGAATACTTGAGATTGACAGGGAAATAACTCAAGCATATCTCTCTGCCTTCAGGAAGGTCGTGAATAACCCGGACAATGATATCAGTGTTACCGTGATCAGCAACAGAGTCAACATAGTCGAACCTGCAGGCATTAGGGAGGCAATCGTGATTGAAGAAAGAAGCCCTGGGATAAACACCATAGGCCCTCACGGACCTTTCTTTGTGTTGCGCAAAAGGCTCCATCAAACCAAAGGCGTTGAGCTTATCCTTGGCCAGAAGGACCGCAGACAGCGAGGCCGAAAAGCCAAATTGGCTGTGATTAGGTGGTGGACAAATAGAGGAAATGACGGAATGGAGGAAAAGAGTAGCGTCATCTTGTGACGAAATGGAGTCACCTTGAAGGGACAAAAGAGTCTGGAAATTTAAAGGGGACACCACGGCCAGGTTGTAGGCTGCAACGAGAAAACGGGCTTGGACTTGACAGTCCTGCTGGCGGTGGAGAAGAGGAGAATTGGCTTCTCGAAGGCGGCTGAGGGCCTGGCAGACCCATTGGGTGTGGGAAGAGGATAGAGCGACGGAGCGGCATTCGGGGTTACAGAAGAGTGAAGCAGAAGAGCACCAAGGACAAGAAACCATCACCACAGGCGAAAGGATTGTTCTGAAACAGTGGGAGCAGTATTTATTGTCGTGATTCAGAAGAGGAGCAGCAGAATAGAGTAGGATTGGGGAATCCCTGAGGACGATCTGTCCAGCTCTTAGCGGCTGAGTAGTAACTAGTGCTCTGCCCTTCCCTTCTATCTCCGCCATCTTCACCGGCGGTACCGGCGGCGGAATAGATGTGTCCGACATTTTTGTGGTCTAGTTTACTTTTTAATCTCTACCTCTCCTAACTTGATCTGCTCCACGCTCAAGTAGGGTTTGGGCTTACAGAAAATCTAGTCTACTGTAATTAACACAAATTACTAATAAATACTAGAATTATTTAATAGAAAAGTATTTAAAGAATTTTAACCTTTTTTAATTTTTACTAACGCTATTATATAATAGAAAAATATTTATAGAATTTTTTTATTATTTAATAAAATCACAATGACGTGCAGAAGGAGAATATAATGAAGACGATGACGCCCTCGTTTAAAAAACGATTATTTTTCTCTGCATTCAATTTCATTTATTCTTAAAAGAAATAATTATTTTCAAAATATTATCATAATATATATACACACACTACTTTTTAATTTTACATTTTTCAAAAGAGTCACTTTTCAAATAACCATTTTCACACAAACACGAGCTTTTCAACATATTTATTTCTAAGCTACTTTTCTTTATTTAGTGAAAACATCGGATAATTTAACCATAAATAGCTTTCACACATGTATCACGGCCTTCTTCGCGCAAGGTGCCAAGTTCCCATCTTCGCCCATAGATCATGGCCTCCTATAGGCAAGGTCTCATCTTCGTTTTATGAATAGGGTCTCCATCATGCAAGGCCTCATCTTCGCCCATGCATCACGACCTCCTCCATTCAAGGCCTCATCTTTGCATATGTATTACCGTCTCCTCCATGCAAGGTCTCATCTTCACATATGCAGCAGTGCCTCCATCATGCAAGACTTCATTCTAGAATATTCACTGCCGGTGACCAAACAAAGGTCTTGGCTTTGAGACATTCGATGATAGGAGCCATAATGGTGCTGAAACCATGAATGAAGCGTCTTTAGAACGTAGCCAGTCCATGAAAACTTCGCACATCGAAGAAAGAACCTAGTGTGGGCCAATCACAGATTGCCTGGACTTTAGAAGGATCTGCCACCACTCCTTTGCTAGATACAATAAATGCCAGAAAGTTTGCTTGTTATTGGAGAAAGGAACACTTACTCTGATTGATGTAGAGTTGCTCCTGACGCAGAACTTCCATCACTTGGCGTCGATGGGAAAGATGATCCGGGATAGGGCGGTTGAATATTAAGATATCATCAAAATAGACTACCAGGAACTTACCCAAAAATGGTTTGAATGATTGGGTCATCACTCTCATGAAGGTGCTAGGAGCATTCGCCAAACCGAATGGCATCACCAACCATTCGTATAGACCCTTCTTCGTTTTGAAGGAGGTCTTCCACTCATCTCCTGGCCGAAGACGAATTTGATGATACTCACTCCTGAGATCAATTTTTGTGAATACAACTGCACCACTCAGTTGGTCTAACATATCATCAAGACGGGGGATGGGAAACCTATATTTAACAGTAATTTTATTGACAGCCCGACTATCAATGCACATCCTCCAGCTGCCATCTTTTTTTGGTGTGAGTAGGGCAGGTACCGCACATGGACTGAGGCTTTCACGAATGAATCCACGATCCAAAAGGTCCTGAACTTGATGTTGGAGCTCAGTATGTTCGGTAGGGCTCATGCGGTAGTGTGGGAGATTGGGTAATGTAGATCCAGGCACCAAACCAATAGTGTGTTGAATATCACGCAAAGGAGGCAAGTGATGCGGTAGCTCATCTGGCATCAGGTCATTAAATTCCTGAAGGAGATGGTCCAGCTCAGCTGGGATTCTTCCATCTGACTCTTTTGCAGTTCTCCCTACTAAAACAAATATAATTGGCTCCAACTGAACCTCTTTAGTAAAAGCTCGAAGGGTAAGGATTGGATTGGATTCCTTTGGGGTTCCAAACTCTTGAATTGGAAGAGGTTCCAATACAAACTTGCGGTTTTGAAATTTAAAGGAGTATGTATTTGCAAAACCACCATAATTAACCTTACAATCATATAGCCAAGGTCTTCCCAAGAGCAAATGGCATACTATCATTGGAAGCACATCACACCAAACTTCATCCGAATAGGTACTTCCCAACGAAAACTTGACAAGGCATCGTTGCTTAACAGGAACGGAGTTGGAGTCATTGATCTAACTTACGCGATACGGGGTGGGATGTGCTTCTTGTTTCATTCCTAATCATTCAGCGACCTCCTTTGACACCATGTTCATCCCACTCCCATTATCGATGATGAAATTCAATGCTTTCCCCTCGTGCACCACCCGTGTGGGGAAAATGTTTGTCCTATTCCACTCCTAGGTTGTTTCTTCAGGCTGGGTATTTTGCCCCGTCAATACTCTTGTAACCACGCAAAGAGGGAGATCAGTGGCCCTCAAATGTCCTTCTGGTGGTGTGGTGATGTCAGATTCTGCCCTTTGATTCTCGACTTCAGCTGCTATTTCTTTTTCGGACAACAAGCCTTTCTCGCAAACATACGCTATTCGTTGATCGCGAGTGGGGCAAACGACTGCATAATGCCCAAAGCCTCGGCACTTATAACACTGGGGTCGACCACCAAAAACTTTAGCCTTCCCTTTGTTGTCTCCTACGGTCCCTTCTTTGGATGGGTCTGTGGCTTGCTTCTGAACTGATGTTGTTGAGGATCGAAGAACCCCTACATCAGTGAATTGAGAACGCTGTGTGGTTCTTGAAGCCTGTCTCTCCAGTTGTAGCGCAAGTTGGTATGCTTCCTCCACACTATAAACTCGTGCAGTGAGCATCTCTTTTTGAAGCTCTGTTTTCAGTCCACTCAAATACCGCGCTAGAGTCTGTGATTCTGTTTCTATGGCCCGACTCCTTACTGTAAGTTCATGAAAGCGTTCGGTGTACTGGTCCACTGTGGCTTTTGATTCCCGGTTCCAGTGAAGCATTTCTTCATATATGAGTTGTTTGTAGTTGATGGGCACCTTTGGACTCCAGTCTCTCCTTCATCTCCCCCCATTCAATAATAGGTGCTTGGTACGTTCGTTGAAGCTGTTCTTCCACAATACTCCACCAGGCACGAGCTGGCCCCTTCAACTTTAATTTCACAAAATGAACTTTTCGCTCTTCTGGCACAGAGAACCAATCGAAGTAGTCTTCGAGTGCTGTTATCCAATCATGAAAAGCATCTAGATTAAGCTTACCCAAGAAATCTGATACTTCCACTTTCATTCGTTTGGTCAATTCATCCAGCGGATCTCTGCGAGCATCTGGATCACGTGGCTGTCTGGGCTCTCTCCGTCTAACCCCGCCCATTTGCACTTCCTCCTCCTCGCCATCACTATCATCCATTCTGCCTTGCCTATGTGGAATCCTTTGTTCCCCACTCATTCCTCTCCTTCCCGAACTGTTGTTGCGTGCATCCATACTGTCCAAACGGTGCATGATGTTCCCTAACGTTTGTGATAGCTGGTCTAATTGAAATTGAAAATTAGCAGGTGTTTGGGTAGGTACGGTGTTTTGTGGTGGGTCTATGTTTGGGTCTGATGAATTGGGGTGATGGGAATCTTGCTCCAGGGGATTATATACAAGATCGCTCCAGGTGGTCATAAGGAAGGTGTTCAGAATAAACCTGGCTCTGATACCAATTTGATGTCACTCTTTGATCAGAAAACAAACTCCCAGAAATTCAGCCTCGCACTGGACTTCTGACAGGATCTGGAAATCACTTCCAAGGATTGGAATCACTCCAAATACAAAGAAAATTGGGATTTTCAAGTCCGCCTCAATTTATTAGCCATAAAGGCTTTAAATAGCCGAAATACAATTAACGGAAAGCAGAAATCAAAGCAACTAAGCGAAAGAATTGGAACAAATTCAGACTGATACCACCATTATGGAAGGAATCAGTAACCCACGACAATCGAATGTAGGCTTATTTGTTGAAATAAACAAGAAATAAACTAAAGAATAAAGACAAAGTCTCCCTATGCCGAGTGTCATTGCCAAGTATCATCTTTGCCAGGTGTCATGTGGTCCATTTGGTCAGCTGTTTAGAACTGCATCACGTGGGGTGCGAATGGTTGCGACAGTTGTATATTACAGGTCGTGATGGTGATGGTGGATTGGAGGTTGGAGAGTTTCTTGTTCAATCTATCGACCCAGATAGTGATTGTACTTTAGGCCTGTTTGGCTTGTTGGTTTGACTAAATTTAACTTAATTGTGACTGTATGTAAACTTGGTCATAGACAATCACAATGAAGGTAAACTTGGGTTGAGAATAATAGTGGTGGTGCATTTGAGTGATGTTAGTGGTGGATGGTCGTGAATTGTGGTGTTAGTCTTTGGTTTGTAAATTTGTTTGTAACGACCCTCTACGACCAAATGTATTTATTGTGATCGAGTGTGACCAATTCTGTCTTCATTATGACTGTCTATAATCAAATTAACAGTGAGTCACAAATGAGACTAATGTGGTTAACGAATAATACATATCAATGACTTTGTTACATACAGTCACACATTAGATTGACTTGATCACGATCGGTCTGGCCACAATTAGTCACAGATCAAACACGTATAGTCACAAACAATAAATCTGATCACATATAACAAAGTTAGTCACAAATCTCATCAACTACAATACAACAGTATTGCCACCACACAGTATTCAGAATGTTGCTACCACCTTACCATCACCATTAAAACGGATCAACTGCGATGCACTTTTATCACCTACAGTGCACCATCGTCATCATGCAGATCTATTTTCTAAATACAATACCACCTCACTACCACCATCACCACCTTTAATATTATTTATGTCTGTAAATGTGTAAAGAGAGAAAATATTTTTAAATTTTAAAGTTTCTACGGTGAATCAATGTCGAAGTTGGGTGCATCTGCGTGGGAGTGTAGAGAAATTAATTTCTGAATATTTCTGGGGGTGGGGATTACAATCTCAATATGTTAATTGAGAGAGGGAGAGAGGGAGAGGGAGAGAGAGAGAGAGAGAGAGAGAGAGAGAGAGAGAGAGAGGAAATAAATGTATATTATATTATAATTAATTATATATATAACAATTCGATTTACCACCTGAATTTTGAGATATTCAAGAGAGTTAGTTTTGAAATGTGATTTTATATATAGGAGTTATGTATTGTTCCCTTATTTATGCCTCCATATCTGATACACAAGTTTTCTAGTCAAACGTGCATTCAGAACATGGGAACCTACTCTCAAATTTGAAGGGAAAAAAAAGTAATAATAACGAAGACGCAAATTTTCCCTTTGAAATCGTAATTAATAAGTAATAGCTTGTGAAATAATCCAAAACCTTAAAATTCATATCAAAGCAACGTTGTCAAATTGGTTGCACCAGCTGCTCAACATCCTGCACAGTCAAAAATTGTTAACGGTCTTAACATTATGTCACCAATGCAAATAAAACTTTTATTGGGTCCATTCCGAATAGGACGAACACAGAAGATTTTCAGATTTAATCCAATTTTACATCCATACATCCCATGGAAACAAGCATAACAAATGAATTATCGGATAGTCAAGATGGAAGCTAAACAGAAGGAAAATTTACTCAAAGGTGTCTCTGCATATGCTTATTTTGTCGATATCATAGGAAAATGGTAGCAGTCTTAGGATTTAAGGGATGCGCCCACTTTGACAAGCTCCTCAAGTGCCTTGGAGATTTGTTCTTCTGTCAAGCCTTCCAATCGAATGCCCCTTTCAACACCCATATCTGTTTCAAAAATTAATAAAAAGGACAACATTTCAAAAGGCCAATTATGGAAGAGGGTTGTGTATCTATCTGGCATGTGTAGGTGAGAACGGGAAAATAACAAGAAATTTGGAGAAACGCTGCAGGATATTTAAATTTCATTTTCTAAAGTACAAGCACAAAAATTTTAGGGTTTTTACCAGCCAGCACTTGGTCATGCCAAATATTTCAAAGCTCAATTTGAACAAAAATACCAATGACCGAAGTTATGAAAGTATTTGCATTCTTGTTCCTCAGAGCTATTTAATATTTTCAACTTCTTTGGATGGAAAAGAATACAATTAAATAATAAAAAAGCATTATAAGCTCTGGAAAGTTGCAGAGTTCTGAAATGTTCCTTGATTACTTTTTTGTGGATTAAGCATGGTTAGAAAAGAACATCTTAATAGAAAAGGGAAAAAAATAAAAGGGGAAAACGATTCAGATTCCACTACGAGAAGGATTTATAGATTCAAAAATGTTGATCATATGATGCGGCTGACAACAGATACCAAATAAGAATCAAGTTGAAATAACACACATAGCTGAAAGCATGTTTCACCTCAACTTGGCAACAGACACAAAGGACTCCTGCAGGTCAACTAAGAGGAGTGAAATATCAGGGTTGTGCTTTCCCATAGTACACTTTGAGGTGAATTATCTGTAATTCTAGTTCAAACATAAAATGGATCTATCTTGTAGATATGCTAAGAGAAGGGAAAGTAGAATTGGCATAGAGCAGCATAATGGGATTTAAGTAGATAACATAATAAAGAAATTTGCCATGACCAAGAAAATCAATGGAAATCATTAATTTGGAGTTCTGGACATATAACATAAAGAAGAATATACTGCAATTAATGGAAATATAACTTACAACAAAGTTATTTACCGGAACAAGATTTGTGTAGTTGATCTCACACATAGGACAAGTACAGTTGAGTTCTACAATGAAACTTCAATGATTACCAGAATATGTTAGGCATCTCAAGTGAACAATGGGAGAAAGAAGTTTACCTATACCAGAATAAGGGAGTGGCTATTTTATTCCTAGAATTTGTCTGAAGCTTTTGGTTCAGGAATGGGTTCAGACACATGGGATGCCCAATTCTAAGACCGTCGGGTTTGCACGGACTCCTCAAAAGGTACTCAATATGGGTATGGAGATCATGAAAATACAAAGATCTACTATCTGAGTGTGCTGGAGCAAGCATTGGTTTTAAAGAGGAGCAGTAGTGGACTTGCATTATGGAGCAAGAAAAAGTATGGTTGCTTCTCTCAGGAGGGCACTCACTAAAGCGGAAGTTCACTCACACTGTGGAGACAGACAAAGTTTAATCATCTCTCTAAATGCGCACTAAATGGAATGAAAGTGGAAATTTTTTATTTTTTTTTTTTGGCGGGGGTGGGGAGGAGGGGAGGGCGGTTAGGATGATTATAGTCACTAATGGGGCGCAGACACCACGAGTGAGAGTGGGAAAAATATCAAGATGGCCAATTGTGGGTTACCAAGCAAAGTGGTTCTTAGTAAATGTGATTTCTTGATGCATAGGAACTTGCGAGAGTGGAAGAAAAAAAACACAAGCCAATTGGATAAAGAGAGAATTAAGGCCTAATATGATGGTTTCATTTGTGAAATTTACTAATTTCCATCTAATGGTGTGGTACCTCTATTTTTCAAATAGAATTACAAGCATGGGTTCAATATTCGCATCCTTTACTTCAGTTATACAAATTATTTCTTTATTCCCTAAGATTTGAAATTTGCAAGTTTCAAAACAAGGGAACAAAAACTATACTGGAGTGGATTTGATATTTGTTTCGTAGTAAACACACTTTTAAGTTCATTAAATTGAAGCCTCAATGTAGTGCAATAGGGGACAAGTGCAGTCCTCAATTGAAAGTAAATGTTAACAATACCAACATAAAAAACATATTTTCGTCGTTGGCGAAAGTATATCGAAGAAGCCGTTAACTGTTTAAGGAGGTACGACAGTGACTAGATGTGGGTGAAATAATACTGGAAGAACAATAGCATGTCTCCTTCCATGTGAATTACATGTTCAATTGCCCATTATTCATTTCTGATTAATTATTTGCTAGAACCAAAATATTTACTTGCTATCACGAGGTATATTGCAGCTGAAAATTAGGTTTATGTATTACTGTATATCATTCTAGCTTATGCTCTTTATGATTGCTTGAATGAGAACCAGAATGACACATATAGTCAAACTACATTCTAGCTTATGCTCTTTATGACTGATTTACATTAATGCATGCTGACACCATAGATATTTCTCATCAAATCTTTTATAGTGGTTATATCATTATCATTAATACCTCAGCGCACACTTGAATACACTCTCTACTCACTGGGTTTAGCAGCTATGTGTCTCCCCATCCCCAAATTACGATGAAGATATTTATGCTGTTGTTGACTATGCAAAGTCAAGGAACAACATACAGACAAATTTCTTGCAACTGCAGAGCCCTGAACCCTTATACGGATGTGAGAATGGAAAATCGGGAGAATTAGCCTATGAAATGTGTAAAAATCTTTATATAGTAGTAACATGATTTTTATAAAATGGACAGGTAATTTATTGCGATTTCATAGTTGCAATGCAGCTGTACAAGAAGTTGTCATAAAGAATAATTTTATGATGCTTCTCAGCTAATTATCTGATAGAGACCTTCAACTGATGAGAGAACACTTTAAAAAAATAAACTGGACTTCTTTAATACTGAACGTGAAATACAAGAAAATAACTCTGCTAATGAAGAGCAGAGTGCATACAATTGCACAAACTCAAATAACAGAAGAACTGATAGTATTGGCTTTTTAAGAGAGCCAATTCTCTCCTAACAGATTACCAAATTCTTCTTGCCTTCCCAGATGCGGATGCTCTCTTATTTATAGGTTACTCATGTTTCTCGATGATTCTTCCTAACAGATTGTGTAACTATGCATGTGCCCATTTCTCAATAATTCTTCCTAACAGATTGTGTAACTATGCATGTGCCCATTTCTCCTCCTTCATTTCCTTTTCTGCCCTTGTATTCTTATTGTGCCTTTGATATGTGACTTGGACTGCGGGCCTATCATTATCAAGCCGCATTGGATTTGTTATAACATATGTGGGATCTTTTCCTTCCTAGCTGTGCTCTAGGTTGGTTTTTGAGCTGTCTCATTTTGGAACATTTCAAGCAGAATCTTGGGTTTACTCACACAACAATAGTATCCATAAAGCTATAAGATAAATGAAATGATCAATATTTTCTGGTTAATCTTTTCAGATCTTCCACAAGTAGTAGTGATGGAAAGAACCAAATAAAGAAAAATGATTAATATAACCAGAATCAAATTTATAGGGAACAAAGCTCAGTTTGTCCTTCTGGTGATGGCTATAATGAAAGATGAAGGATCATAGATGTAGATAAACTCAAACCAATATTTTTGCCTCGTACATAAATTCACTCCACGTCATTTCATGTTTCACAAATTCTAGTCATCATTGTGATTTGTGAAGAAAGCACTACATAAATATTCACGAAGCTGTTGATACATCTACAACAATTACATATGATGCATGTCTTAAGACTTGAAACAACTCACAACAACATTATGTTAAAAACATTTGAGTTTGTTATAGATAGTGAATACAACTCTTTACTACAGGCACTTGACTAACACCAAGTCTAAAATACACAAGGCACGTTTGGCACGCCACATTAGTCCATATTAGGATAAAAATTTTAATCCTGTACGGTGTTTGGCATCCAATTATCCATAGTATACTTATCTGGAAAATTAATACAGCCTTAAGCCCACTGGATAAAAATAACCTAAGCCCAAGGATGGGGGTTTAGAACGGATTAATGAAACGGGCAGAAGTGCTCCAGTATCACTCAAATCCTCTACACTAAATCACACAAAAAATTTCTCGTCTCCTTCACCTCTCTTCACCAAAGAAAATCTAAGAGAACTACACTAAATTCAATGCCCATAACCTTGAGCTTTTTGTGTAATTTTTTTTTTTTTTTAAAGTCTCTTGTAATCATATTTTGGTGTCTTGGCTTGCTTTTAAAAGTGTGAAATGAATGCTGGTATTCTTGGTCGACTTCCCTTTGGTTCATTTATTATTTTCTTGATTTGCGATCAACATACCCAGCTTGTATTATTGTGGATTCAATTAAAATTCTGCACAGTACAATGATGCTATTGATAGAACCATGTATGTTTAATCATGCTAATGAACATGTTATAAATCGAGTGCGCAGAAAGATTTTGATTTTTATTCCCTTTTGAAATATATATTGTGGGTTGTAGTTAAAATTTAAGCAGAGTGTTGTTAGGACGTGAAGTGTTATATTTTGGTGTGCCCACTTAGTACGTAGTGTTTTAAAAGCCGGACTGGGCATTGACCATTAAAAACGAAAGGGTCAAGGGTTAAAAGGTGAAACCGGGGTAGAACAGGTTAGTTACATAGAGATAAGTAAACATATTTTCAAATAAAAATCAATGTTAGATAATATTATAATATTATTAATCGGGATATTTAGAGAGTTTTTGATTTTTTATTAATTAAAATAGTCAGAAAAGCAATTAATTTATTTAATAAAGGAAATAAAAAAAAGAAAAAAAATCAAAGGATGACGGAATTTTAATTTAACTAAGCCAAAGGAGTCCTTAGCAGTTGGGTAGTTTAAGCTGTGGGGCCTTTTAATTAATAAACAATTCAAGAGGTCTTAAAAAAGTTTATTAGTTTTTAATGTTAATATTTTAAAACTCAATTGGACAAACCGAACCCCATTCCGGGTCATCCGGTTTTTGGATAAACCGGTCAATTGACCGGTTTTTTACCGGGTTTTGATTAAGTGGGTTCTTAGTATTAATCAAATCGGATTTTGGATTGGTCCCCGGGTTCCAGGTTGAACTGGCCAATCATACTCGGTTTTTATAACATTGTTAATAAGCCTGAAAATTTTAGATTTTATATCAATTTGTAGTGATCTCTGATCGTATACTTATGCAGTGTTAATCATCAAGCATGTAATCAATCATCTTCTAGATAGATGAACTTCATGTTACACAGCCACATGTATGTAAATAAATCTCATATCCTCAGAACCTCAGGCTTTAAAACGAGGTGGTTTAGCATGTTCATTTCTATATTAAATAAGTGCATATATTAGTTATTTCGGTGTTTCGGATCAAGTGGCTAGATTATTTGGACCAGCAAAGATCTTAGAGGATTAGCTCAAGATAGATGAGCTGAAACTGTATTTGCTCTTCATTATTATCGGTCCTAGATTGTTTGTCTCGAGGCAGGGTTAACAGTAGACCAATGCCTGATATGATTGAACGTGATCCACCATTCTATTGGCTATGGCGCCTTGAAGTATAGTCTAGACCAAGTTGTATTTCGTGACATGAAATTTTGTTACGTGATGAAAGCCAAGATCAAATTCTGGGGATGAAATATTTGTCTACATAAGATAGCAGTTGTAATTTGAAGTGAATGCAAATTCACTTTCTTTCTCGTTCTTGTTCCACTCTTGTAACCAACAGCGTCCAAGTCTCCTTCAATATGTATTCATAATTTGATAATCCTAACATTATTTATTACCAGAAAAAAGGAACAGCAATCCAGAAATTATGCATTTTATCACAAGAATAGTATTATTCTTTCTTGATTGACCAAAAAGATGTAGTTGTATTTTTTATTAAGAAGACCTCTCTCGCACATTCTTTACACGTCTTAGCTTAGCCTTATTACTGAGTAGAAGCATCCAGGGAAACATCAAAATCACTTGCTCATTTTTGAAATACATGTTTGGTTGTCGGAAATATTCAGGTTTCGGAGAACTGATGGTATTGGTTCAAGTTTTCACTTTGGCAACAACCAGATATTGGTATGCCCTGGAAAAATTTTCAAAAGAGAAAAGGCTATCAATATTTAAGCCTTTTTGAAATGATTAAAGTAAAATGTGAAAAAAGTAACCTTCTAAATTAGATTTAGAAGATTATAAATTGGTGAGCTTTTGCTTGAGCATGTTGTAGCCTCTCTCACTAGAATGGAGTTTTCTTCCTTTCCCCTACAGGGCCTACACCAAAATGTCAGACCTCTGTAACAATGTAACTGATACACATGGGCCTTGTGTGGTAAATTCTTTTACGAGTTTTAATTATGCATTTTGTCGCTGGAGCATTTGAATTGTTTATATGCACTGTTATTGTACAGTTCATTTTTCCAAAATGGATTGTGATACTAGCTCCCAAGCCCATCTAGATGATAATACAAATAGAAGTAATAGACATTCATGGACAACGGTGGAGGAAGACACACTCTTGGATATATTGGCTGAACCGGTAGGGGAAGGATAGCATTGTGATACCAGTGCCTTCAAATTGGGTTAAAAAATTCTGAAAAATTTACATTCTTAACATCCAAATCATGCCTCATATTGAATAAAAAATGAGAATGTTAAAAAAAAGGGGGGGAGAGAGAGAGTATGCTAATGACATGTTATGCCAAAGTGGTTTCAGCTGGAATGGTGCGAAAAAATATGTAGAGTTTGATTGTGAGGAGGTGTGGCGTGATCACTTGAAGTTATATTTTATTTATTTTTGCTTGTTGTTCTTATTGTTCAAATGATATTTTATAAGATTCTCATATTATACTTACACCTTTATAGGTTCATAACACTGCTAAATGATGGAGAGACGAGCCATTTCCTATATAAGAGATTAGCCAACATCTTTGGCAAAGACCGAGCAACCAGTCAAGGAGCATAAACTGTTTCACATGATAGATTCAATTAATGGAGAGGAGGCTCAAATTCAAGACATGGATGATAATGACAATGAGTCATTTTATATCACCTTGAAAGTCAACGGGTCAACAGCGGCAAAAATGAATAGGGTTGCTCCAACCATCACAATGATTGATGGAGTTCACTGTCAGAGACAATGGATAGAATGGCAAAGATCGCCCAACAAATAATTGAAACTCGTAACAACAGTCATGAAGTTCGTGTAGAGCTTGCCCTACTAGGATTGAGGATGAGGGATGAGTTTCTAGCCTTAAAGATATTTGTTGAGAAATCTTTTAGATTTGATTGCTTTTGGACTTAGGGGGTCACTTAAACTTGAGTTTATGATGATGCTTTTAGAGGAACATCATAATTGTCATACATAATTGTGTTTGAATATTCACTTACTTTGGAGAATGTTAAGAGCTTTATAAACTTGTACCATATTCGATCGATATAATTTATTTTCTACAGATTGAGTTTGCTTGTTCTTTACAAACTTCTTGTTGTGCGTTTTATATTTTACATATATATTGAATCTGTAATGATTCTCTTAAGTATTCAATGGGTCAACATAATTTATATCATTTGATGGAGACGAGATTTATTCAACATAATTTATATCATTCGACAAAGACGAGATTTATTGGTTTATCGCAGTAGTGTTGCATTATATTTTGTTTCAAGAATTTAACAGGTTAGAATGATTCATGTACTTGGATAGAGATGAGGATACAATAATTTTTGTTTTTTTTTTTTTTTTAATAAGTTGATAGGTTGTAATTTTATGTTATGAATTTTAAGGATTTTCGAATAATTTGACATTTATTTATTTTTCCCATGTGCATTAGACAAACTTAGATAATTAATATTATAGTATAAAAATTTAGTTAAATATTTTTATGGTCTCTATGGCAGTGCAGCAGAACATGCTCCTTATCCATCTTAATCCAATCCCCTCTAAATTTCTAACTCTGTCCTCTTTAATCCTATCCCCTTAATATAACTCTAATCCAATAGGGAATACCAAATGTGTCCATAAAGAAAATATGAAACAATAAATTGCACGAACTTACATATAGCAATTTATGCAAAGATATACCACCCAAAGCTTCCAAAATCAAAAATTTGTTCCATATCATAGCAAAAATGTAAAAAAGACCAAACACTAACATTTTTCAAACAAGACAAGAGAAGAATTGTTGAATCGAGAACAGCATACCGTATCTTGCCCAGAGCTGAGGCTCCACCCCTCTACACTCACGGATTAATATTGGGAACTTTGGATTCTGTTTCTTCAGATCTGTGTAATTCTTCTCCACGAATGCCCTGTTAAAGTACATAAAGAAAATTTAAAATAATAATAATAATAATCAATGCATTACGCCGTAATAAAGGATTAGGAGGAGCCATAGAAAATCGCAGAGATTGACCTAGCGGACGCACTTGCAGGTGAAGTTTGGCAAAAAAGGACCCTTAGCTCCTTCAGATTCCGCGATAATTGTCCCCTCCATGCCATTGTCGTTCCCTCTGGTACTCTTCCTTGTCCTCGGGACCTAAACTGTAATCAGCGTGATGACAACTCGTTTATATCGGAAAAGAAAAATAGGAAATTCATTAGTAACTCTTAATACAAAAAACCAGGTCTTAATTAATTATTTATTAAGATTTTAATATATTTATTAACTGTAATTATTCCCATTTTTAGGAGAAAATTTTCAAATAAAACAACAATAACTTTCAAAACCACTTAACCGTAATGCACAATCTCCCCCGATCAATTGAAGTAAATCGATATTTACCCAAATCCCAAAAACTACTCTTCATTTAACTCAAGCAACCTTCGATTGTTTTGTCACAATACAAACAAGAACCATTTCGTAGAGAAGATCGAAACGATAGGAACGAAGGTTGTAATAGGGCTATCACCGAAGCAAGTAGAGCGAAGACGGTGCAAGGGTTTGAAAATGGCAAAAAGAAGGAGTTGTGATCGGAAGTCACAACAGAAAATCGGCAGTCCATCTGGAAAACACCAACAGAACACTAAAAGTCCAAAAGTCGGGAAATGTGTTTGCAATGAAACCCCCAAAACTCCGCCGAACTCCCGAAAAAGGAAATCAAACAATGTAAGGGTTCTTTGTAGTCTATTGAGTCATTTGAGCATATAGGTAATTCATTTTTGAATTCGTTTAGTGGTTTTGATGGACTAGTGGTTTATTGGTGGGGAAATATTCAATTGTGACCTACTATTCGATTATTATGATCTGTATGGCTAGTATGTGTACCGTGAAGAGAATGTGTTCAATATTGTGACCAATTTTCAATTACTTCTGTGACTAGGGTGTGTGAAATGCGAATTTATTGTGGCAAAATATACAAAATGTGTGGAGAGCGTGCCACGTTTTTTGATATGATTTTTATACAATACCTTGTATTTGTTGTTAAATGGTTGTGTGTACATTTAGAAGAGAATGTGACCATTGTGTGTGAAGTGAGGACTCAATGTCTCAGTTTATGAACTATGTTTAGTTTTGTGACATGGCATTGATCATGTTGAGTTTTGTGTATTGTGAAGAGAATGTGTCGAACATACAAAATTTGTAGAGAGTGTACCATGTTTTTTGATATGGTTTTATACAGTACCTTGTATTTGCTGTTAGATGGTTGTGTGTACAATGAGAAGAGAATGTGATTAATGTGTGTAGAGTGAGGACCTTGTGTCTCAGTTTATAAACCATGTTTAGTTTTGTGACATGGTGTTGATCATGTTCATAGATAAAATAATGTGTTGAATGTTTCAATTTGCATGTCTCCATGATAAAGATTTTTTACTTATGTTTACATGTTATCGTAATGTTTTGCAATAATGGAATTACACGATCACCAAAGACCTATGGTTTCCGAATAAAATTACAACCAATGTAACCAAGAATGTGTTAACAAATTTCAAATCAAAGTTCACAGACGAACAAAAGGTAATTCTGGTTGACACATGTTTCTCCTTCTACATTGATTGCCATGAAATTGTTGTGCAGGCCCAACTGTTTCACTATTTTGTTGAGGAAGGTGAAGAAATCAAATCCCAATGGGATGTGGTTCAAGGTTGTAAACATATGCATTCGATTTTCGTTGTCTGAGTTTTGGTCTCTGGTCTTAGATGTAATGGTAAGGACGTTAGGAAAAGGCTCGAGACCGTTCTTTCTATGATTAAGGAAATGTACGTTGAAAATTTGAAACTAGTTACAAATGAAGATGTACGTGATGTATTCTTGAATTTGTCGGATGTAGACGATCATGATGTCATGAGTATTGAGATTCTATATTTAGTTACGTCCTTTTTGTTCTCCACATCCTACAAGAAGGTGGTTGAAAACTATTTGTTTGCCTTAGTAGAAGATTTTGTAGCTATGGAATGGTTTCCCTTGGATAAAGAGTTATTTGATATGTCTATAAAATCTCTCAATGAGGTTTGTGCATAGAAATCTCCATTACAGATTGAAAGCAATTTTTATTGCATTTCAAGTCTGGATTTATGAATTAATTCCAAGCTTCACTGGACCTGTGACCAATAGAGTAGGGAATAGGCATCCCCACATTGTGAATTAGACGTCGCATAGACAACCGTCTGCAATTAAATTGGATGAAGATGTCTTCTCCCATTCCGATGTAAGTGTGAAAATATTTAGTTCTTAAATGTAGTTCCTTTGCTATCATAGTCACATGTTACTAATCACAAAACATTATATCTGGTTTAAAGGTCACAAATCAGGAACACTTCAGCCACATATGAAATGGACATTTACAAACACTTACGATATGGATTGTTTCGTTGTCGTCGTGTCTCGTACGATAACTAATCTATCCTACACAGTCAAGCCAGTTTGTCTAACCATCAGATGAAAGATCACAGCCATCAGCTCCAAGTTCAGCTCAAACGTCAGACATGAATGATCAGGGTTGTACACATACATCGTCGAGTCGGCAAATACGATTTTCATAGCAATGTAGTAATGATTCACGATCACTGAATGTACATAAACGTACAATCCTCCCATGGCTTTTCCTCGATACTTGGTGATAGTCCTATGATCTACTTGAGCATATACTCGGGCAGCGTGTACTCGCTACCCATAAGCTGGAGCAACCGATACTTAATGGTAATGGCACCGAAGAACTCGATGTTCAATATTATTCGGCTAGGAATGTAAAATGATCTTAGATATCTCTCAACTCGATCATGCAACAAGTCCATGGCCACGTCGATGGGCTACATTAAGGAAAACAAAAAAAGAGGGAGTTATTTCATTTAATAAACCGAACATTATGTATAAAAATATTAACAATAGCACAATTTCACTTACATCATCGGCGAGCCAAGCCCCTTGAGTGGTGATATCATGGAACTACTTGTAAGCGTCTGATATCGTCATTCGAGCTATCGTGCAACCAACTCTGAAAAGCGTAGAAAATTTAAAACGAACTATATACGAGTTAGCATAACACACTCTACTAAAATCATACAATATTTATCCGGACAAAATTTTTCACCACTCCATCTTGAAGGCTTTTCATTTGGCATGTTCCACCTCTGGAAACAGATTGGGGTACATTCCGTCAATGAACCTCCTCCTCTTCGCCTCAGACATGAAGGTAGAGATGACGTATTGTGATGGCAATCTTAGCCTCTTGTTGATCACTAGTTCCGACACGTCAACAGTAATGCTCTTTTGCCTCAAGGCTCACCACCTCTCCCATCCCAGACGGTGCCACCCCTTTCATCGTCCCCTCCTTCACCACCTCTCTCGTCCCGACGGGGCCATCTTTCCATCTCCATAGATACTAAAAATGATTATAATTCATCATTTGACCACAAATGTGGGTGATCCCCTCTCCATCACCCTTTCGATCACCCTATCTGGCGCCCTATCGTCTGCCCGCTACTTCACCTCGAAGTACTTTAATCTCGCCTTGAAGGTTCACATAGTGGCCGCGGAGCACTCTAACCTCGTCGGATAAGTCGTCGACCCTTCCTACCAACTGTCGCCCCAGATCATCGACCCTTTCTGTCAACTCCCGTCGCAGCGTACCGATCTCCTCCGCTATAAATCTAGTCTAGCGAGTATACAGATCTTCGAAAATAATGGTCCTGACTCTGTGCAGGATATCTATCAGGAAGGTCTCTGGACGAGGGAGAAATAGATCTCCTCGATTGAGGTGATGCCCTCAGCGAAGGGGATCGTCGAAGGACTGAACCGCGATCTTACACAAATAACAATATAAACATTATTAATTTAATTAATAATCGCCAACTCATAGAAAATGGTAATAAAGTAATTAGATTCAATTCACATACCCCAATCTTGATCGAGAATCGAATCGAATATCTGGTTGTCTTGAGTGTGTGGAACGTAATGAGAATTTAAACTACGCACAATACAAATCATAAATGCATAATACTCACCTAAAGGTCGTCAAGGAGAGCCGATAACTGTTTTCCTGAGAGACATCCATCCGCTCGAGATGCTTGCCAATGATGCATCCGAGGATTGCGTCTCCTCTCGCCTAACGCAGCGGGTACCCAATAGAAGACAATCTCGTACGCCTAGATCTGCAATACATACAATTATTATATATAAATTTAGTAGAAAAAATATTTAAATGTTGATTGTGTTAAAATATTTTACCTATATCGCTAGGGGCAATCCATAGGTATCGTACTTATGCATGTTCCCCTTCTGCTTCAAGTGCGATATGATGAAGACGTGTATAATGTCCTCGAAACATCGCCAGCCCTACGAATAGTTGTTGAAAATTAATAGTTCAAGTCACACACTCCCATAATCCATTTTCTCTTCCTAACCACTGATATCTTCAATGATTTCTAGATGGAAGAGGCCGATCGCAGTCTTACACCGTAAGACGCTCTCGAGGATGTAGACCAGACCTAGTTTCAGTCTGTCTAACATTTGATCATACCCCCTACTTGCGCCGATCAGCTGCGGCAAAAACAATGTCCCCTGTCTCTAATAGTACATGCCGTACAGTCCGTTGCTTCTCCAAGCTGCTTCATCATCCGTAATTTTCAATCCAATGATCAGAGCAAATTCGAATATGGAGATCCTGGCGACTTTGCCCCCAAGGTCGAAGTGGAGGGCGTTGTTGTCGATTGGACTCAACAATTGACATAGTAGCGCATTGATCATCTGACCCGAGTATTGCACATCTCTCAATTGATACAAGGGCTAAAGAAAATGATAAGCGCAGCATATCAGCATGCTCCTCATCCAATAGTTCCAACATAGTAGTGAAACTGCCAAACCTACTATTCCAAGTAGCTTTCCCTAGCATTTGTCTCAACGCTGCGTCCAAATAGTAATTCATCCTTAAAAAATTCAAATGTTAAAACATTGTACAAGGAATAATGGAATAAAATATAATAACAATAAATTAAGCGAACAGAATTATAACTAATACACACAAGACAAGATTTATTTTATACCGACACTAATAAAAAAATAAATGATTTATTAAAACGACAAAAAAAACGAAATTAGGAAAAAATTTAAAAATAAAAAATTAATAATGAGGATAAAAATTAAAATTAACACTAAAATTAAAAAAAATATTTAAATTAAATAAAGAATATAAATTTTATTTAGGTTAAAAATTAATAAAAAAATGAAAATTAACAATTCGCCCACACTAACAATCGTTAAAAAAATTAAAAATTAAAAACTATTTAGATTTAAATTAATAAAAATGGAATATTTTTTTACCCTATTACCAAAAATTAATAATAACAATTAAAATAAAAATAAAAATTAAATAAAAACAAAAATATTATTTAATTAACTTTGAAACAACATAAAAAAATAAAAGAAAAAAATTAGGTTAAACAATTAATAAAAAAAGAATTTTCCCCTGTTATAAAAAATTAATAATAAAAATAAAAATTCAAATTCAAATTCAAATTCAAATTAAAAAATTATTTAAATTAAATAAAGAATATAAATATTATTTAGGAATTAAAATTGAAACAACATACAAAAATAAAACGAAACAAATGATTTCGGTTATAAAATTATTTAATTTGTTAATTTAAAAATATTCTTTTAATTTTAAAATTTTAGTTAATATTTCTTAATTTAATATATATATATATAAAGAATAATGAAAAAAATTATTATAAAAACATAAAATAAATTAAATAAAACGAAAGTGAAAATTTTAATAAAGAATAAACATATTATTTAAAATTAAAAATATTAAATTATTAATCAAATATAAAAAAAGTGGGTAAAATAAGTAGGCCCTCGGCCCAGACTATTAACAGTCGACCCTTTAACTATTAATAGTTGGGTTTATCGACTGTTAAATAGTTGGTTGGCTGTTTAATAGCCGTCATTTTTCTCATCGAAAATCGTCATTTTCGATGAGAAAAAGCTCTCCTCCCACCCCAAAAACTACAAATCTAACCCTAAATTCAACCATCTACCATAAATAATCAACAATAAATTGAAAACTTAAAAATTTATTACCCTAAACCATTATATGAAAAACACTCCAAACCATTTTCTAAAACATCTAACCTTGTAGACGAAGAAGTTCGTCAGCCAACTGGGTTGTCAACGTCGCTTATTGTTACCAATCATCGGCTGACTGAATCCCGATTGTGGTGAATTTTCTTGGTTCACGTGTCGGTACAAGAGTCTTTTGGAAAGAAAGTGAAAGAGAATGAGGGTATTTTTGGGTTTTGATATTTAAATTCAATTTTTTATTTTTTCTTATAAAAACAGTCAAATGCCATAGGACAACCGGCCATTTCCTCCTAAAAATTAGGGCAGAGGGGAGACATATTCCTACCCTTGGCACCAATTTATCTTGTGTTGCAGTGATTTCAACTTAACTTCTTCATCAACGATATTGGAAGGTAGTATCTGACTTTATTAGGGTAAAAATGGGCTTTATATGCTGAAATCGCACTCGAATCTGATTGTTATGAATGATTTGATTTCAACTGAACTCCTTATAATTTATTTAATTTTCGAAATTATTGTTTCTTGATTGTAATCAACTGGTTTTTTGGACAAAATTTCTTCTGAATTTTTTCTGTGGTTGTTTATGGTTTTCTCCTTGCCTTAAATATTGCCCGCTCCTCAAGTGTATTAGGTGAAATACCTAGGACCAAAATCCCTGGGAGGCTCCGCCCTTGCATTTACATGAGTTTTCGCGAAGCTATGGTATATGTCCTTGATGTTGAGAGAATAATAAACTAAAAATTTGTAAGATTAATTAGTTTGAGATGTCAAACTAGTGAAATCTTATTAACGATCAGTACTCTTATTATCTTATATGGTTAGTGTAACAACGTCCATTTATTATCATTAATCATACGATTTTTAGTTTTATTTTTTTAAGCTAATCTCTTTTGCATTTGAAGGTAAACATCTTTGTTTGAATCCATCGAGGTACATCTTCTTTTGAGAATTCCACATTACAGTCATGAAAGTTCCTTTCTTCTCTTACATAGTTAGATTAAAAGATGAACCAAGCTTATTTCTTGAGATTCTTTTCTTCATTGATATGAATAATTCACTTCAACATGGATGTTGTGGAAGTCTGTAGCATCTTAGTCTATAAGATCTCTTGGATCACCACTGTCCTCACTAGTGTGTAGAGTTTTACTGCTTGGGAAAGTATGACCATATTTTGGTAGAAGTGACTCAACGTGATTTCGTTAGTAGAGTTTCACAAGTGTATAGAACTTTACTACATATTGAAGTGCACGGGCATGAGTGACGCATTGCACTACACTTAGGGCTAGCTGATGATGTAGCCTTGGGTTGTTGTACTTGTAATTTTTTCATAAACATGGCTTAGGAGTATTCTAACATATTATTAAAGTTAAGTTCTGGAAAATGAAGCATCATTGAACAATTAAGCAATTTATCCTGTGTCTGTGTGTCTACGGATCTTAATGGATCCAGGAATGCAAATATGTTTCAAATATATGATTTACACGAAATTTATAAGGAGGTTGTTCGAATTCTGAGACAACTGCCATCTCTGAATCTTTGGCATAGCATTCAAGGTTAAGAGCGTGGAACAAGGTTTTGGTTTACTAGAACTTTCTGTTGTGGAGTTGGAGTGTACTTTTCCCTGGTACCTATGCATAGACAGGACTGAACTCTTTTTAGCTGTATTATGTTTTTGAAATTGTTTTATAGAGATGAAGTTAGAAGCATTTACTAGGAATATCTTCCTTAAGCACTTGTTATATGGCTGGAAAACAGTTGTAGACTTGTGACAATAAAAAAGAAACCCTCATGAGAATAAGAGTAAGAGAGTTTCCTTACCCAAAAGAGAACATGGAAACAATTAACATTATATTTGTGTTAGGTGCATTGAGCATCAAGGTCCTTCAGGCTTAATTTAGGGACATAATTCGTAAAAATGTTTTGGGTGGAAGGTTAGATGTGATGGGTTCCTTTAGATCCAATATGGTAGATTTGGCTGATGATTTTTTCAAAAGCGAACTTGGTTATTAATTGCGTATTTGCTTAGATTGTGGAAAACATGCTTGAATAATATGCCTAGACAGGAAATAGAAAAACATCTGCCAATGGAGTTAACATGGGTATGGTAGAAACATGGAGTCCAGTTTGCTTGATCTTTATGATGACCCTCATTCTTGCTGCAGTTACAAAGCAATGCCAGTTAATCACATCAAATCCTTGAGAAGCATTACCATCCCAAAGGAGGTAATTCGCCTAGTGAGCCACAGAACTTTTGCTTCTGGTGCTAAAGCAAAGAAAGGATCTAAAGGTGGTGCTGCTGCAGATGGTCCAAAGGCATCCATACTGAGCAAAGAAGTTAAATCCACTACAGTTGTTGGTGCCAATATCCTAAAGGACGGGACTGACCCTAAAGTCTTGCCTGATTCTGAATATCCTGATTGGCTATGGCACTTACTCGATAAACGCCTAGCTCTTAGCGAGCTAAGAAGAAAAGACGTGGAAACTCTTCCATATGAGGATCTCAAACGATTTGTCAAGCTGGACAATCGAGCTAGGATCAAGGAAAATAATTCTCTCAAGGCAAAGAACTAAGAAAGAATTCACAAGTAGTAGTATTTGTTTCGAAAATTGATGTTTCTGTCATGCGTAGTGCTTCAATAATTGACTTGTTTTCTGGAGGTGATCAAGCTAAACTTGTCAAGTTTGTTTATTTTCTTGAATTTATAACATCCAATGATTTAATCACTACAAATTAGTTTTAACTTTTAAATTTTATGAATTGTGTTGGTGTTTTAATATATTTGTGTTCTGTCACAGAGAAATAGCAATATAGCATATACGTTTATGTACATTGTAGCGACGCGCTTGTTAGTCGCACATTGAACATCTAAGCCAAATCATTCTTGTATTTTCTTGTAAATATTTGTCTGGTGTAAGAATCTGAGAAAAGTAGCTGTAATCCTTTGTAATTCAGAAGAGACCGGAGCTTCTCTCTTGTTTTCTTTAGTTCTTGATCAGTACATCTGTATATGCTAAAATATAGTCTATAGTAAAAAGGATTGTGCATTAGGCATCACATTCTTCATTTTTCACAAATTTTTTACAAATTTTTTTTACTCGACTTCCCTTGGAGATTCAATCAAAACAATGAACAAATGTAATATTTATCCTGGAGAGATTAACAGTGGCATGTACTAGAGAATTCATTACACTGAACTGATCATTATATCAGAATGCTTCTGGTAGAGGCCTGCCTTCCAAAAAGGCTTTGAACAACACGAGGGATCTCCCTGGCTGAGAGAAAGGAGCTTCATGGGACGCCCCTCTGATCGTGGCAAAGGAAAGGATATTACCGTAGACTTGAGTCCACCCACCAACCTGAAAGAAAACAGAAATAAATAGAAATTATTATATATTTAGCATGAAATTCCTTTTATGATCATTGAACACAGTTGTTTAGGTTACCTGCATCCCAGCAAACCACACTCTGTATGGCGTACTTGTTCTCAGTCCTAATTCTTCTGCAAGTCTATGAACCAGTGTTCGACTTCCAGTTAAGGGTATGACGGAATCTTGATCGCCACTGTAATTAGAGTGCAGCAGATTGTTGTTAATAAAAAACTTGAAGTCCTGGTGGAAGACATTAAGTTCTCGGCTATACCTGTAGATCAAAACTGGAATTCCTGCATTGATGATTCTGCCCACAATAGGGATTGAAGGAATTTCTATATCAAGCAGCTCATAATCCAATACACTGAATTAAATCATCAGGAAAAGGATAGCTTAGCATTAAACTTTGGAGTGAAATAGAAGGATTTTGCTGATTATAAGTTCAATTTCCAAATTTCATGCAATCAGATTCAAATATGGTCTGTAAAATTTAATCCTGTGATGGAGAATTACTTGCTGCAAACAACCCATCTTTTGACTCCTACAAGACGTGCGTGGAGAGCCTGTTGAACATCTCGTCTGTTCAAGTAATTTACAGTTTCATCCTCCACACACACATCTATAGTCTCTGCGACTTGCTGCAGCTCAAAAGAAAAAAAGTTAATTGTGTTAAAAACCAAGGAAATTAGCAAATAAAATGAATATTAATCTAGTTGAAGAGAAAATGACAGGATTATACCTCTGGACTAAGAATCTTGGATTGTGACAGCACGGATGACATACAGACATCGAGAGTAACATCGTACTTGTCAACAAATTTACTGGTTTCTGTCGTAACAAGGTTTATTACTCTTAAGCATACTGATGATATGGCGCCTCTATAATATTCACTAACATATCGCGAATAATTGCAAGCGGATGTGAATAATTTGTATGTTGTGTCTGATATCAATCCATGAGACCAGAAATACTCAGCTCTTGAGTTGAAATCAGTAGCAAATTCTAATACCGGATTACCTAGCTGCAATCACAACAGAATCTAAGAGTTTAAACTATACAGCAGAAGATATAGCATGTTTGGTTGTGCTTAAAAATAAGTCAAATCTTGCTTTTGTTATTTACTTTTAAGCACAATCAAGAACACAAAGTACAGCTGATCGTGTTTTCTTCCCTCTACCGTCAGCTTGTGTTGAAAATGATCCCGAACTAACTTTTTTTTTAAGTACTTCTTTGAATGCAAAGAACGTGTTTTTAAAGATTAGGTAACTTACAGCAATTCCTTTCAAGTTGAACAGATTCTCTTTCTTGTTGAAAAGTAGCATAATCTCTGCTAGTTGGGGAATATAGTGACCTAATGATAAATTATAAGCATTTTTAAGATTTAATCTCTTCATAAATTTCATTAAATTAAAGAGTATTGAAAATTTCAGACACCAAAAAACCTACCAGCGTAGCTTTCACCAGTGATATACAAGCTTCTATTTCTGTACTGTGGGAATTTGAGGAACCAATTTTGCAAGAACACCAAGTTGTCCCTGGCTGTGATATGAAAAAAACACAAAAAAATAAAGTCAGATCTTTTTGTCCCCATGTCCAAATGGAAAACAAAAACAGTAAAATAGAGCACATGGCCCAAAAAGCTGAAGCTTACAAGTTACTACTCCATTATGATTTCAATCTTTTTTCTTTTAAATGTGTGGGGAAAAGGAAATATAACTGATTCAGAATGAGTATAATGCTTTTATCCTTTTTCCTTTTGAAAATGGAAAGCAGGAGAAGTATTACTTACCATGGTTTTCGAAAAAAATAAAAATCAGAAAAATAAAAAATTTCTTTGTCAAGATTCAAGAGTGGAGAAACATGCCTGTGATTTTGTCATTTACACCTTCATAATTGGAAGAATCAGCAGAATAAGAGAATCCCACTCCAATTGGAGACTCCAAATACAGAATATTTGCTTCTGCATATTGGGAATCAGAATATTAAACACCTTTTCTAAGTGATATTGAAAACATGAATATTCACAAAATAAACCAGTAGAATACCTTTGTTCCAGCTATGTTCATTCCCGACTAGCACATTCCCACTTGGCCTAAATGGCCCATTTTCAGAAAATGCACCAACCCCCAATGATGAACAACCAGGCCCTACAATCAAGAATCCTCAAAAAAAAAAAAAAAAAAAAAAAAAAAAAAGGGAAGGAAG